CAGGAATCACTCTGAGGAGCTGCTGCTGCTGACACTGGGAGCTCAGGGGGGTTTCTGCACACACTTCCACACTGTCCTTGCAACATGCTATTTACCTTCCCTCTTCCTTGGCTGTGCCTGGATCTTACCTGCGTATCTTAATTCTCATCTGTTTTCGCATAAGATACATTTTAGCCCTGCAGCATTGTGCTGCTATGACAACAGGCTTGCACTTCTGCTGCTTTCACACCCTTGTTTTTCTTGTATTAGGACTCTTCCCCTCATCTTACAGCCTTGCTCTAAAGACATGACTTCATCCTTTATTTTGTTTTCAGCAGAATGCACTGTGTGCTCTATTGCCTGTTTCTCAAGAAGTGTTTTTAGTGCCTGAGCTACCCTGAGAAGGTGGAGACCTACTACATCCATTGCTAGATCCACAGCTGACTGCCCATGTCCAGGCATTCAGGAGTAGCCAAAAGTTTCTAAAAAAAGGATACCTTTTGTTATTCAGGATTGCAACAGACCCAGCTTTCAATCACAACCCACTTCCACTGACTTTGGAAATAATGGTTAAAGTGTGCCATGTTTGTACAGCAAAGCAATTGGGAATACCACAGACAAGGGAACGTGGTTATTTCTAAACAAGGTTGTTTCCTCCACGAATTTCCTCACACGTACAAAGTAAGTGAGGAAATCCGTGAGGACCGTAGACAGAGCGTGCCAACACACACGTTAACAGGAACAGAATAATTAAGGAGCAGAGAGAGGAAATAAAACCCCAACAAGTATGAGGTCTGCAAGATTTTGGAGCTAAACTGTTTTGTTCTGCAGCAATCAGAAGTTCTGAAGTTCTTAAATAAATGTGTCCTTAAACAGAAATACCTGACTTTACTTCATTTGTATGTACAAATACATATTTAGTCAGTTACCTAGATCAAATAATGGCCAGTTTAGGAGACAAGCAATCTATAAGCACTACAAATCTGTAGTTAGTAAAGGTTTCTTTAAGAAAAAAAACCCTTGTCATCTACAGATTTTTATAGAAGGAAACTGCAAATACAATCCCCTTCAGTAAGGCGTGTTACATTTCAATCCCTTTTCATCTTTATGTCTTGATATCTTTAGTGGAGTTTTGGCCAAAAAAATATTAGTACTGTGTTATTGTTATAAACACAGTAATGGAAATGGAAAGAGAATATTTTTCTGCAAAAAAGGTAAATCTTTAATTTAAAAAAGTCTTTAGTATGGTGCAGTTAACTCACTGTAAGCATATAGGAATAAACAGAATCAGAAGGATCGGTGTGTCAAATTCTAAGTTACAATGTATTTTCTGAGGTTCAAAAATCTGTCTAGGTCTGTATTCCCATGAGTTTGTATAACTTTAACCTAACAAGTCTCTCGCTGCAAGTGAAAATATCACCATGAAATGATAGGGGGGCTGTTCTAACACTATTTTTAGGTGGGATTCTAGGTTTTTTTAGAGAATTTCTACAGGCTTTATATAATCATCTGAACCTCTGCATGATGGTCCATACCAAGTATCCCAATTATTTTTGCTTTTCTAAGCACTCTTTGGAAATACAGGGGTAAAAGGACACTTTCTTCAATTAGGGGTTTTTCCCTCCTGCCTCTCTCTCTCAAAAGACAAATCTTGAGGGAGAAATGTCCTGCACAACAACAGCACAGGATGCCAGTTCCCTATGCTCAGCTATAGAGCAGGTACTGCAGCAAGTAAAATTTCATTATTGTCCTCCCACGATATCTCAGTCTCAGGATGCATCTCTTCCATATCTGAGATTCTACCAAGGCTTTTTATTGGAACACCTATTCAAGACCAGAGACTGAGGATATGTTTAGATTTCTCCCTTCTGCAAATGACTATGGCAGCTGGAAATGCAATGTTGGGATGGCAGGCCTAGAATGGTGTAAGCACTTACAGGGAGCCATGAGAACGATGCATAGAGATTTACACAAAAATAAGAAATAAAAGAGTACTTGGCATTGTCTCAAAAGCAAAACTATTCTCTAAGGGAGCCACACACCTCTCTGCTAAGGAGGAGAGCCCCTGTGTGGAGCAGCTTGTGCGTCCAGCAGGACCTGGGGCTGTGCTGGGAGCAGCCGGCGTGGCGCTGGCAGATGTGCACTGACAGCGGGAGCCCTCCAGCAGCTCCTGCTCTGGGAGCTCTGCCTGAGCCCTGGGCTGAGCCAGGTCTGAGGCTGAGCCCTGCCCAGAATCCCCTCCCAGCCAGCAGCAAGGGATTGTGCAGCACTGGCAATGGTGACTTGTCAGTCTGGTAATGTGCCCACCAGGAACTGCACTGAGGTAACCAGAGTGTGTTAGAGATGTCACCATAACAGTATTTTCATTGACTAATGAACTGACTTGGATGTTAGACTGATGAACTTTTGACAGGACCGTCTATGTTTGAGTTTCCACCTCTCAGAGCCCAAAACTTTGTATCCCTTTACTCAGGAACAGTAACAGAAGCTGACTTCTTCCTCTGCCTAGATCAGGGAAAATCCCCTTCCTTGGCACATGACTAGGGAAGCTGTAGCTGCTCAAGGCTCATTCTTCTCCCTCTTTGGCAGATGAAGTGGGATATGGCAGGTAAGGAAACCAGCAAGATGTGCTGCAAGAGCATCCAGCATCTGCCTGGGGCAACCATCCTCCTGTGTCTCCCATCCTCCTGCTTGTGGGTGGAGATGCAGCAACAGCCATGTGGGAGGAGCCAGCGTCCAACCTGACATTTATTCCGAAGCAAAACCTCTCCCTTGGGGAGGTCATCCTCCAGAAAAGGAAAGATAAGCAAAAGCTGCTGTGTAGGTTCTCTGCCCTGCCTGTACTTACATGGCAGCTTCAGAAATGTGAGTGGGATTTACTCTGTGGTTTCACCCAGGACACTTATTTACAAGCACAGTCCTTTGAGCTGGTTGGCTCTGGACTGCAGCTGGGGCTGCCTTTGCTCCCTTCTCCCTTTCATGCAACCAAATGTGTACAGGAAAGCCTTGATGGCCACCTTTTTCTTTCTCCTTCCCTTGGTGGGCCCTGTTAACATCAATTGATGTAGGCCTGCATCCCCACAGATATAACAATTTTGGGAGCTAGGAGCCCTCCCTCCTGTTTTGCTGTTCTGTGGCCCATGGGACGGGCCATCCCCAAGGCTGGACAGGCAGCTGCCTGAGCCTGCCTCTGCCCACAAACAGAAGCATAATCAGGACAAGGAACTTAATCCATTCTACACAAAACATATTGGAATTAACTAGATAAGTAGAGAGTTGGAAATAATGCATCAGACACGTCTGACAATGTCTAAACAATCAAATAGCAATGGTGTTCATTAGCTCACTAAAAGAAAAAAAATTTTTTTAGTGAATTCTGTCTATTAAAAATGGGGCTGTGTTAAATACTGACAGAACTTTCTAAGTTATACCTCTCTTGCTGACGTGATAAATCTTATGCAGAAGTTTGCCTGCAGAAAGATTCTGAGTATCATTTATTTGTGTGTCACTCTGCTATTGATAAAACTACACATCTCCAGAGAAAGCAGTACAGAGAAAAAATCCATTATCATTATTATTCTATGACTGAGTAAATGTGCCTATACTGGATGCAATTGCAATTCACAGTGCAAGAAAATGAAGGCATGAAAATAATTTCTCTGGAGTTTTCTCATTCGCCACTAACATTGCTGTTACTGTACTTAGTGAGTCGACACTCATTAAATGTTTGCTCATTACTGTTGGGTAATATGTCAAAAAGAAAACAGAAAATACTGTGTGGCTCTGTACCACAGTTCTGTATGTGCCTACAGTGGAAATGAAATATAAATAAATTCACTGTAACAGTTATTTCATTGTTTAGCAAAGTGAGAGATCTCCCTGAAGTCTCTTACAATAGGTGTTTGCATCTGTTTTTTCATTTTAGAAGAGACACTCCTTGAAGCGATAAAGAAGAATTAACATTGGCTTTTATATGGGCTGACAGTTTGACATTCAGAGGGAAAAAAACCAAACCAATGCTGAAATCTTTTGGGCTTCCACAAGGCAACAGCAAAAATGTGCAGGATTGAGCTAGCCACACCTCTGCTTATTTCAAAATGTTCCTTTCCTTTTTCTTGAGTGAACTTGACCCTCTTAACACTCAAGTTTTTTTGCATCTATCATCCCTGTTTTTCTTTTCAGGATTGCTCAAAACTACTGGGGCATAAACTAGAGTACCAGGTTCAAGAAAAGCAGGTTTCTGACATGTTATGATCTATAGCACAGTGAGATGTCCTGTCAGATTGTGACTTGCACACTCCGTGCTGCTCAAGTGGGAGGATGCTGCCCGCTCTAACTTGAACCGGCAGCACAGGCTGCACCATGCCTGCAGTCTACAGCTGGGCTGGATTTTCTCTTCATCTATGAAACCGGTGGTGGTGGGCTGGGAATGGAGGAGAAAAAAACACTACCCACTAAAAATAAGCTGCTGAGTTATGTCATTTGCCTTGATGAGCAGTGAGAAGAAGGTTTTGTGGTACCCCTCTCCATGCAGAAGTGCAGTCCAGACACAGCAGCAGCCCCCCAAACCATTCTCGGCAGCCTGACAGACTGGTACCTAACTGTTTTTGAAGTTTGAGTTTATGAAAGCCCGAGACGCCCTAACTCGGGAGCACAACTGCCACGCGAGTGGAGAGACACCGAAAAAATTATTTAAGCAAGCCAGACTGCCCTTCTCGCTCACCCAAAGCAAATAAAAAGCAAAACGGGGAAAAAAGAAAAAGATGGGGGGTGGGGGTAGAAAGAAAAAAAAAAGGAGGGAGAGCGCGGATCCCGCGGCGCGGGCGCTCCGGGCTGGCGTCCCAACTGTTGCAGGGAGGTGACCGGGGAGCTGCGGTGGCAGCGCCCGTGCCGGGCGGGCAGAGCACGGCATGCGCGGCTGGGTCCGTGCCGGCGGGCAGGTGCGGGGAGCGGGGCGGGATGCGGAGCGCCGGGCCGGGCGGGGTAGCGATGCTCGGGGCCGGGGGACCCGCCGGGGTTACCTTGAGGATGAGATCGGTGTGGTGCTGGTCCAGCATGTTGGCCTTGCGGAAGGAGGTGATGATCACCCGGCCGTACCTCCCAGGCGTCTGCAGGTCGGAGTAGAGCCGGTGCTTGGAGCGGTTCACCGGGAAGAGGCTGTCCACCAGGTTCCTCTCGATCTTGGCCAGGCTGTGCGTGGGGGCCAGGAGGTGCTCCACGCTTTCCTCCACCTGGTAGCGGCTGAAGCTGGCGCCCAGCAGGATGGAGATGAGCACGGGTGCCGAGGCGAAGAACACCGGGTGGCTGGCGACGAAGTGGCCGAGCCGGGAGAAGGACGTCCCCAGCCCCCTGTGCAAGACCTGCCGCAACATCCTAGTGCGGAGGGCGCGCAGGAGAGCGAGCGCCGCGCCGGGGCCCCCGCAGCTCCCCCACGGCCCCCTCAAGACCATGGGGCAGCCCCGCCGGGCGCCGCCTCCCCGCCGGCCGCGGCTGCGGGGGGCCGGGGGCGGCCGCCGCGCGTGTGCGTGTGTGTGCGGTGTGTGTGCGCGCCCGCCCGCCCGTGTGCGTGCGCGGGGCGCCTCGGGCGCTCGTCCTCCCGCAACGCCGCCGTGCCCGAGAGGAGTTTCCCAGCTCCTCGGTGCCTGACTTCCCAACCCGCCGCCCCTCGCCGCGGAGCGGCGGCGCGGACCGCCGGGGGGTGCGTGTGGGGGGGCAGCCCCGCCGCCGCCCCGCCGCGGGAAGGGGAAGGGGCAAGCGCCGCTCCCCGCCCCCGCCGCGGAGTTTGCGCGGGAGCGGGGCTGCCCGCAGACTGCTGACTAATCCCCCGGCCGCGGCAGGCGAGGCGAGGCGGGGCGGGCGCGCAGAGCCCTCCGCGGCGCCCCCGCCGCCGCCGCCCTCCGCCCAGGGGCGCGGGGCCACGCCGGGCGGCGCCGAGCACGGGGCGGCGGGCGCAGCGCCGCGCCTCCCGCCGGGGCCCCCGCCCGCCCGCCGGCCGCGCTCGGGACGCCGCGGCGCGCCCCGCCCCGCCCGGCCCCGCCCGCACCGCCGCCCCCAGGACGACGGGACAGCGCAGGCTGCCCGCGGCTCCGACGGGCGGGCGGCGGGCCGCGGAACGGCCGCGCCCTGTGGAGGGGGTGTCGGGTGTGTTTCGTGGGGGGCTTTGTTGCGGGGACCCGCCGCCAGAAACGTCCGGGCGCTGCCCCCGGCCACGGGGGCCGGCCGCGTCCCGGGGTGCCCGACGGCGCGCCCCGCGGTCCCGCCGCACGGCCACCGCGGCGGCGCCGGCAGCACGGCACAGCCCGCCGGCCCCGCGCGGCCCGAGTGGGCATGTGCGAGCGCCGCACATGCCCATTAGGGAAAGCGGGTGCCGGCGGCGAGGCTGTCCCTGCCCGTCTCACGGTCCCCGGCCGCCCGGCTTCGTCTCCGGAGCCGCCCGGGCTGCCCCGGCCGTGCCCCGCGCGGGGAGCCCCGCACCTGCCGGCACCGCGCCGTGCCCGGGCAGCGCGGCCGCTCCCCGCAGCGCGAACCGCAACCCCGGCCGCGGGTGGGTGAGCGCGCTGCCCACCTGTGTGTAGGTACAGACCGGGGGCACGGCCTCGATTTTAAACACAAATTGTATCTAAATAGCAGAAAGGAGCGCAAATGCTCTAGCTGTTGACATATTTGGGCACGCTGGTTCCTGGCGCTGATCTGGCCCAGGCTGCTGCTTCCCAATCCAAAGGTGTTTGTAATGGGAGTCCACTTACTACCCAGGCCGGTGGTTTTACAAATCTGAGAAAAGGAAGTTTCCGTTTGACAACTGTTACATGTATTGCTGCATAAAACAGCACTGGCTCCCTGTTTTGGTTGTTGATAGGCTGACAGTCATCCTCCCTTTTACATTTCAGTAGTGTCTGACCTAAGCTAATGTTTTGTCATGGACGCTTCATGCACAAAACCTTGACATCATTCCTGTCTCCTCAGAGCTAGGTCACACAGCTTGAATGCTAAACTCTCCATGTTTCACTTGTAATGTGGCGAGCAAGTGAGTGGCTTGATTGAGCATGGCCAAGGTCAGAACCAACATCTCCTGGTTCTTCTGGGTTTCATGCTCAAGACCAGGAATCACTCCAGGAGTGATCTGCCTGTGAGGTCTGTGCAGCCGCACCCACAGTGCCCAGTGCAGGGATGCGGGGGTGTGTAACACGATCCTGCCCCTGCTCAGCTCCACTCCCACAGAGGTGGGTCCCCACTGCTTGTATCAGTCCTATGTAAGTTTAAGAAAGAAAATCTAATTTGAATATATTTTAAAGAACATTTCAAAGGTGGACATAGAAGCACAGACGTAGGAGAGAACTGGACCCGAGTTTAGGTGACCATTCACTGTTAGGTCAGGCTCAGAGCCCAGGTCTCTTGTCTCCCAGTTCAGCACTTTCCCCTCCCTGCCATGACTGTACACGGATCTGAACACAGGCTTACTCACCTCTGTGTGCCAGGGGAACATAAGGATGTGCCTAGTGCTCTACATCATTATCAACAAGTAAAGAACTTTTGTCATTGCTGCAGGCAGTATCATCTGTGCTGGTTTTTTGGGTCTCCATTAAAGATACTTTATCATTATTAAAAAGGAAGGGAGATTATTAATTGTTTCAGTAACCATCCAGTGGCCAATGCACAGTTCTCCAGGGTATCTCAGGAAAACTAGTTTGAGGATCTGACATCTAACCCAGTTCTCAGCACATTAACTTTGGGTGAGTTATAGGTGACCCCAGGAAGACTCAAAGAATCATTTGAACCCAACCATTAACAATATATATGCATTTTTGCAGGGGCATAGAGGAAAAAACTGATGCATCAGCAATTTTGCTGGGTGTTCCCCTGTCTTCCCAGAGCAGTGTCAGTTTAACTGCCTGTTGTAACCAGCATCAGGCTGCACTGTTAGCAACAGTGGAAATGATGTCTTTCCAAAGAGAGCTGTAGGATTTTAGTCCACAAAATTCTTCTTCCCTTTGGCTCAAGGAATTGTCCTGCCTTTGACTGTGGGGTTGTCTCTAGGGGAAGAACATGTGGGGGAATGTTGACATGCTACTGGAGCTCAGCTGTGTGTGCTGGAGCTGCACTGAGTACATTACAATGCTGCAAGCACCCTGTAGATGTTCCCAAACCAGCAGGGAAACCTGCATACTCCTGACTTTGCAGTGGTGAAATCACCTTGTTACTGAGCATCGTTGCTCTGGCACTCCAGAAATTGCCATCCAAATGCATTCTGTGGGATTGTGGTTGTCAGGAGGGGAACAGCTGGACACCTCCCACAGCACTCTGTGAAGATCAAAGCCTGGTGAGCTCTTGCCTGAGTTGTAGGGGAGAGCTGGCAGCACGTGCTGCACAGTGAGCACTGAGCTTCCCCTGCTCTGCATCTCTTCTGGAGCAAAGGGAAGGGTAGGATTTCTGTCACGTATGTGTGCCACTCTGCCACGGCTCTGAATGGCGCTTTACAAAATAGATAATGATGTCTCATTGCTCCAGAGAGTTTCCAAACTAAATTAAGAGAGAATGATGGGAAGAGATGGCCATACAATGAGGTGCAGATGCTGGGAATAGGGATAATGAGGGGGGAACAATATGATTATGTCCTTTCAAAGCAGACGCCTCAGGGTAGCTACTTTTGGGGACAGAGTATAAAAGGGAGATGGGGAAGATGTGACTCAAAGGCAGCATCTGCACAGGGTTCCAGTCTGCTCTCAAGAGCAGATTTGTCTGCTGGGGAGCATTTGTTGCCTCTCAGATCCTTGCAAAAAGACTGTCTTGACCCACGCTCAGAAGCTCTCAAGGCCAAACCGGTCATGTGGATTAGCATGAGGCCATGGTGTCATGATCAACAACAGCCCAGGCCAGAGGGCTTTAGGATGACTTGAACATCCAGAAATGAGCATATCTTTATGCATCTGCTCAAATCTTGTTATTATGATGGGAAGTTTCAAAACTAATGTGAGAGGAAGAAGTTGATAAGGTTTTATTTAAAATAACTTCTTTCTCCTCACTCCCCAAAACTGGTCCAATGAAAGAAAAAACTGAGAGAAGTGATGGAGGAGGGCATTCCTGATGAGTAACTTCAGATGAGTGAAGAGGGCCTAGGGGAAAGGAAAGGTGTCAGGAGCAGCTGGGATGGCTGTGGGAGGTATGCAGAGAATCAGGGTTTTGCATTGTTTAGTTAGGCATGAGGAACCACAGAAGATATTTTAGGAGCATGTGCAGGGGATTTAGTGCTGCCAATGGGGAATGATTTTTGCAACAGGGCACTGAGCAAAGTGTAATGCAGGTTCCAGCTGGAGCTTGGAGAGAAAGAAGTTACCCACAGTGAGGAGATGGGTAACAAAGACTTTTTTTAAAGGGAACTAAGAAGAAAAAAATTCAAGGAGAGTTTAATAATTTTGGTTAGACTCTTAAGAGCTGCAAAACCTTTTTTATTGACATTGGTTATGTTGTGCTCATTTATACTGGCTGACAGTCTTGCTGGTGACATGGAAAGAGCCTGTGCTTTGTGCCAAGGGATCAAGACAACATGTAGCCAGTCCAGGATGGCTGGGGAGAGGAGAAGTAGCTCTCATTGCATCACCAGACCAAGCTCTGCTCAATATTTCTTGGCCTCAGGACTGGGACCTGGGCCAATGCCAATTAAATTGGTGAGGGCACAGACAAGGTTAATGACAAAGTTAATCTCCCATTGCTGATTGGTGAGGGATCCTCTCAACTTGCAACTTTTGTCCATTTGCAGTTATCAGAAGAGTGAAGCAGAAGGAGGCATCCTCCTTATTTCCAGCTGGGTTCCATCACAGTAGGAATATTATACAAAAGTATCACTCTTTTTGCTCTTACGTGCTGCATTTCTCCCAGAAGGATGACAATTTTCTTCTACTAAAAAGGACTTTCTAGAAGTAACCTTGAGAAATTGAAAGCTGGTCTCAGTGCAGTTAGTAGTTTATATTTAATCAATGAAACTTCACTTGCCTCTTTTCCTCTCCTCAGTCCTACCTTCTTTTGGGTAGGACCAAGGAATGGGGCATCATGGGCACAAACAGCATAATCAGAGCTTAAGAACCCCACAACTAAGGTGACTTTTTAAACTGTGCAACCAGAGAAAGAAGAAATTAAATAGAGGAACAAAGCAATGTCACAGCCTGTGTATTCCCTCTCTACCCCAGTCCTTTGGGTCATGAAGGATGGGGCTGTCTCAAGAACAGCTGCCTTCTTAACCCAGTGTACAAACCAGAACAATACCCTGCCGAGGGATGGCCACACTTTTTGCAGTCTGCATCCACAGATTTCATTGCTGGAATTCAAGATGGCTGATTTCTTGCCTCCCTCAAACAGGCTACTGACAAAATCAGTCACGTTGGAAGCTTTTCTT